AATATCCAAACAGTAAGTGATTCAACATTCAGACTCAGGGTTGACAGCGAAGTCCATGCACCAAACAATAGTGTAACAATGTCCACTATCTAAAACTCAACCTGAGGTTAATCTTCTAACTTCTCAGATTATGGTAGCTGCTCCCATACTCCACTCATGTAGTGTCCTTTCCAGGGAGGAGAAATTCACGAACTTAACTTCAAGCACTGGGAGATTTAGTGTAAGAATACACAGAAACAACAGAAATATAAGCAGAGCCCACGGAAGCTTAGAAAGATTGACAACTGGACATCATCTTGTCTTGCATTTGAACTTCATAGATGGGCATTCTTAGCATAACCATGACTCAAGTATTCTCTTTCCTCTGATTTTCTGATTCCATAAGCTTATGCTATTTCTATCAACTGCCAACTGTGGATGAATGGATAGGTAGAGAGAGAGAGAGAGATAGACAGACAGATAGATAGATAGATAGATAGATAGATACATACATACATACATACATACATACATACATACATACATACATAGATGATTGATAGATAGATACATAGATAGATAGACGATAGATAGATAGATAGATAGATAGATAGATAGATAGATAGATAGATAGATATAGATAGGTAGATGATAGATCAATATTCTCAGAAGAGAAATGAATGCAGCCAACTGCCATTATCTCTGCATGCATGGCAGACTGGCTGCCTTGTTGCCTAGTCTAGCCTGGTATCTGTGGTCATTGTGACAATTAAGTCTGATACATCTGCCCCACCTACAGAACTATGTAGGGTGCTTCCTTAGCTGGGCATAAGGTCCAGGAAAGAGCTGTGAGAGTGGCTGCACCATGATGGGGCCGTCCTGGCCATTATGTCAAATACATTAGTCATTACTGAACATTATTTTAGCCCTCCTGTGTTCTCGCTGCCTATAATATGTCATCAGCACATTTAGGTCAAAGGTGGTCCTATCTTCCTTCACTCTGACTCTGCCTCTTCGCCTCTTCCCATCCATATCTCAGAATGAACAGTTCAGTGCAGAGGCATTGCTGACATCTAATAAATATGAACTAATGAATCAAAAAACCCACAGCCACCTGCTCCCTGGTCTTAAGGGAAAATATGGGACTTGAGCTGAAGATGTGGCCATTCCTTCTCCTATTAATCTCCCAAACTCCTCTGTGGGTTGTGATCTCTGCTCCACTGGGGTGACACAAACATGACAGATGGGCACTCTCATGCCTGAGGAGTTTATTCTAAAACACGGACAGGGCTATATATTTTTTTGCAATAAGACACTTATAAGTCACTCTTATGCATTTGGAGCAGAAATATCGTGACATAAGATGCTATTGCATACATGTAAATAGTAGAAATTTGTAGACAGTAAGAATATAGATTTATATATATATATATATATCAGTGAATCATATTTATATTTCACTTGGAGATTCTGATGTAAGTATACAACACTAATCAACAGAGTTTATGGCTTTCTATAAAATAAAGATTTTTATCTGATGGAAGAATACATAATTTAAATTGAAGACCTAAAATATAAGATTTTATCAAAATCATTTTAATAATTTTTACATTAAAATTGCTATGGTACTGTAAGGAAAATGAATGGCTATAAAAGGACTAAACAAGTATTTATGGATTTATCAACAAATAGGTTAATAGAAAGCTACTAAGATGAATATAAAAATAACCAAGAAAAAAATATCAACAACAGAAAAGCATTCAACTTACACTGGAAAGAAAATACATGAATACATATAGAAAATGTCAAAGATGTGACACTTATAACACTAGATAGAAATGCCATCAGTCTTTAGTACACTTGTTATGGAAATCTCGTATCTTTGCATAGTGGAGAAAAAATTGTAACCTCTTATTTTTCTTCTATATTACTTTTAAGTTTTTTTGTAATACAAATGATATAGACTCCTCATAGCACATATATGTATGCATGTATATATGTGAAAAAGGTTTAAAGACCATTAATAATCATCTTTAGTATAAAGTCAAAAGACGATCAATAATGATCTTTAGGACAGAAATATTGTTAGAACATAATCATAACGTTTTTTAACTTAATAATGTACCATGAAGATCATTCAATGACATGACAAATTATTTTATAATACGTTAAAGGTCAATAATAAAATCAAAGATGCCTTCAAACTGAAATTAAACCCTAGATCATCTAGTCTGACCTTTTCAGCAATGCTTTCATAATCTCTCTAGATGATTGTGTGCCCTTTCCTGACCAATTCAGTGACTAAAAAATCATCAATTTGCCAGGAAATTCTTTGAGTTACTTGAACGTTCTAATTATGAAAAGTCCTTCTCTACCCTGAATTTTGTCTACCTCCTTTAACTTCTCCCCAGAAAAGCCTTGGGCCTGAGCTCCTTTAGTGCCATAATCATAACTAAATCATGGTGCTTCACTGTGCAAACTTTATAAAACTAGGCTATAATGTTTACCCTATATTCCTCATAAGGTTGTTTAAAGACTCAAGTCAGAAAATATTGTGAAAACGACTGGATGTGAAACAAACATAGATAGCAAACAAAGTCCTCCTTCACGCGCATTCGTCAAAAATTGTTATCTTCACCCAAAGTCTCCTCTCCAAGACCAACTGCTCGATTATCTCCATCATTTCTTATAAATTATACTCTCCAGAATCACAGTCTTATCAGCTTTGCTGGAGACACCCCAATCTGTGAGTGTCCCCAGTAAGAAGTGCCAGGCTGAACTAAACAGGACAATGCTGAGTGGCCAAATGGGTGGGAGAGAGAATATTACCGTTCTCCCATTGATCCAGTAGTGGCCTGCTGTGCATGCTGGACACAGAGGTTTTCTCATGACCATTGTCTACCTCATCTTCAAAGGGCCAACTGAACCACAGCAACTGAGAAACGTCTTTGATAAAAAATCTTTTAGAAATAACAAAATGCTCAAACAATAGATACTAATGATATTTTCTCTTCATCATTTATTGTCTCCTTAATCACCCAATTTTATTCTTCATTAACTGAAGGAAGGAGCACTTGAATTATTACCTAAAATGAAGTTGAAGATTTGTCAGTGACTTTACATTATCCATGATCTCATTTACACTGTCTTTCTGATGGTAAGAGAGCTATGGTGCGTCCCCAGCATTACAAGTGGAAAATATAACAATCTGCTTGTTTTTTTCAGTCACTTCTTTTTTTCTAGGAAGGCAATTCTAGGAAAGTATAAATCACTGGCAACTTATCTGAACATACCATGATCTGTCCTGGAATGACGTGTTAAATAACTGTTTACCACATTGATCAGATGGTTTCATGAACTGTTGGCTCTTCTGTGCCGAGGGAATCAGAATCTGTGGTATTAATATTTCACTTCCCTCTAAATTGAATAGTTTATACAGAAAGGTAATCTCTAAAAGGTAAGAAGGAGGCAAGCCATCACCCAGTCTGTCTGCCGCCTACCTTCACAAGCTAGCACAGTGCCCTCTATCATTCGCTGACTTGTTTCTCCACCTGGAAAATCTGGAAAGTCTTACATATGATTACTTTCTTTCTCAGATTATTGAGACCTTTAGAAGAAAGGTTCTATCTCATTCAAGGATGTATGACAGTGTAATTTTTCTTAACAGCTTACTTAGAGAAAGGGAATGGATTGGAGTTGTTCAGGTAGAGAGCAGATATGCCATCTGAAGTTGGACTGCGGTTGGCAGAAAACAGCGGCCAAATGAGATTCTGTTTCGTATTTCTTTTGTCAGTTTCAGCTGATTTCAGGTTGGCCCATTCTGAAAATAAGGCTTCCTGGAAGGTGTCCAAGTAAGGAAAGCAAGCAGGTAGTCTGGTGACAATATGGCTCAAAAAACTCATTATTGTTTCCTGTGGTTTTGCAACAAAATGTGTGATGAGTTGGGCTAGAACCAGAATATCAACTACCAAATGGTACACAAAAGGGATAACACTGGGAAAAAAAATTTCAAGGCAAAAATCAAAATAGAGCTCAGTGATTTCAGAAGCATTGGCTTCTTGTCAAGAATAACTGTCATTAAAATTTCCATAACTACCAGTGAAAATGATTTGGGGAGAAAGGCTAAGGGAGTGTCTGTTTTAGAAAACACAGTGAAACTTTATTTTATTCGTAAGTTTCCCAGCTGAGTTTGTAAGATCTCAGATTATTCTTGGGCTCTTTCTCTGCTAAGGGGCCAAAGATTTATCTCTATTGACATACACAGATTAAATATTTTAATCCAGAAAACTTTATCAGCAGAGCCCGAGCAGTCTTCTTTGGCTAAAGACTCACACTGAAGGAGTCTCCATCTTGAGACTATCAGTGGAGAGAAGACCAAAAAATAATAATAATAAAAAGAAGCATGCAGGCGTCACTGGAGCCCCTCTTGATACAACGCGCCGAGCCCACGCAGCACAAGAATTGGTCTGGCGTCGTGTTCCATGTTCTCTGAATGCTGAAGAGTCTGATTTGCATTAGAAACCTCTGCATTCAATAAACAAAAATAGGGATAATGACTACAGCGCTATTTGGAACAGAAAACAAACTCAAGCAATGAGTGTTTTCCACTGAATTCATTCAAGATTTTATTAGCTGAGCTCTCACTTAGGTTATTAGTCTCAGCTTGCTTTTAATTTCACTTGCCTCAGTTATTCAAAACAAAAAGGGGCCTGATTGTGTGTGTGTGTGTGGTGGTGGTGGGGTACACGTATCACACACAAGCTTGTACATTCTTCACATTGCAAACCCACCAACAAAAGGAGGAAGAAGATCTGAGGAGAATGAGTGGTTTTTGCGGGTTTAAGGGATGGAGAATTTCTCTACATAAACAAGAAGGTTTGGATTGGAAGTCTGCTAAAAAAAACGTTACAGCTGACCACAAGGTTGTAAATCCACAGACTGGAAGGAGAAAAAGAGAAACACTGCAAGCGAAGTGTGTGGCTGCGCTGTTTGTGGGTTAGATGAGAAACAAGCGCGGAGTGAAACCGAGAGGGGGGTGACGGTGTGATTGGTGTGGTGTTCCGAGCCAATAGCAGTCCAGGCTGGGACAGTGTCCCGCGCAGCGCGCCCAGGAGCCCGCGCGGAGCCTGCCTGCTCTCGGTCTGCAGGCGCTCCGCCCGCCCGGGCAGCCCTCGCTTCTGCACGCCGGCCGCGCTGCTCTGTGCTCCAGCCGGCGTTCCCGCTGCTCTCCTGCCAGGACTGCCCTGCGCTCCGATCTCTGCGCGCTCCCGTCCGCGCTGCGCTCTGGCCCTGATCCCTCTGCGCACCCGCTGCGCTTCGCTCTACGCCCCCTCTGCGCTTCGGCCCGCTGCGCACCGGCTGCGCTCCCCTTGCGCTCCGCCGATGCGCGCCCGCCTGAGCGGCTGCGGCAGGCCCAACATCAGCCCCGCTGTGCGCTCTGCAACCCAGAGCAAGCCGAAGGACAGCGACACGAACCGAAGGGACCGGAGGAGGCGGCTTCCACTACGTCATTGCAGGTATGCAGCTTGTCACGACTAATCTGACACAGACACGATTTCTGATTTCTACCTACACGACCCACAAAAACTAATTGACATGGTTTGTTCCACTGCTGGTCAGAATAGAAAGCACTGAGCGAACGTTTCGACTGATTCAATCCTACATAGTTAAAGCTGTTAGCGTGTGACAGGGGGTTTATTCACCTATTGTATTTTCCGTGGGTGTAAAACAAGAAACTTCAAACTTGACTGTGATCTTTTTTTCCATACTTACATGTTGTCATGCTGCCCAATTATATATACCTCTTGGTGACGTCCCTTGTAATTATGACCAGTGGCAGGTCCAACACCATCTGACTATTTGAAAGCAGGCTGAACATTTCCCACCTACGTATCAGGTCAATATCCTCCCCATAGGAATGGGAACCAAGTGGTCTTGGGTATGGTTTTGATTTTTAAAGCATATGGCCAAGGTGGACTAAGCTTATGAGTGAAATATCACTGTGTCACTATGCAGTGGTTGAAGGAGGAAAAGAGAGAAGGGAGAAAGAGATTTTAAAACGTAATTGTAACTGACTCTTCTTGTGCACCTGATTTATTTTGACGTGGTGTACGAGTTGAAAATGCAGTGGTATTCTGCACCCGCCGGCAGGATGCGTTCCAGGACCTCATGTATTGCTACACTAAAAAGTCATGAATTGGAACTGTGTCAAGTATCAGATACGATACTTGGAAGAAAATGTCCATTTTTGGTTTTGTTTTATTTGATCCTAAAGTTGGTAGACTTCTCGCTATTTCTTTCCTTTTTTTGTTCCTGTCATTTTGAGACATGAGTTTTGTAAACAAACAAACAAAATCCTATTTCCAGGGTTAGCGTTCCAATTCTGAAGATGGTTATGTAACTTTATTTTTCCGCTTGTTGATTTCTAGTGATTTAATTAACATTGCTTAATGGGTTCAGTCCTTCTCTTGGAAAAGCCAGCGGGGACTGAGTGAAGGCTGAGTTAATAGATGGGTGCTGCTTGGGGAGAGCCTCAGATACTGGCATGTAACTGCTCTGGATCCCTATAAGAGCTTTTCCTGCAGTGAAGGGCATACACAGACTGGGACTCTAGGTCATCAAGAGAATGACATGGCAACAGGTGCAGGAGTAATAGCATATGTTACCTTAAGTCTAAGAAGCATTATTCTCAGTGGATTCTTAGTGGATCACTTCCAAACCAGCCATTGATAATTCACAATCAATTCCTCACTCGGTCCTGCCTGTTTTCAAGGGAGTCCTTATCCCAAGACATGTGCCTGACCAAGGAGGATAAGGAAGTTTCAAGAAAGGTATTTGTTTTACATATCACAATGGAGAATTTACATTGACCTCTTTGTTATCAGATAAACCTGTTATTGCATCATTAGGGGAAAAAATACTTGCTTAGCTATACCGTGGAGTTATGAAAACGGTCCATAATTTTTTCTCATTGCTGGATTTGAATGATTTAATAGGGTATTTTTGAAATTGTGTCAAAGCATAGACATGGTAAGTGAATATTATATTTAGGAGAGAGCATGTTGATTTTGTAGATGATTTTTTTTATTTACATCACAAGGAACCTGACTGTAAATAGTTTACCTATTGAAGTAAATACAAATTAATTGACCCAACAAAATTCTATTTGTGGTTAAAATAGTAGTTTTGTATCACTATAAACATTCATCAATCTTTTATGAAGGTAATATCTGAAGTACATTGAGACCTATTTCCCTCTTACCTGTCAAACACTAAAGCCGTGTTGGCATGTTGGCAGTCACTGAGAGGATGTGAGAGTGAATATATACCCTTTGTCTGGACTAAGAGGCACTGATGGCTTTTCAAAGGTAAATATAAAAACCGCTTTGATTAGTCATTGTTTGGTGCTATCATTCTTCATGGAGAGAGGTAATCAAAAGTTCATTCCCTGGGCATCTTAGCATAGCTACCATCAAGTTGTAAGTTTGGTGAAGTTTAAACAAGGCACATGCCTTTAAATCTCTTTAAAGTAAACACCTCTTTCTTAGCTCTCTTCTTCTAAAGCAAAGAAATGGAATTATACTCTGAGTCTGGATGCTGAGTTCTTACTGATATGGTGGGGACTGGCAGCTGGGGTCAAGGACAGACAAAGGGAGGCTTCTGAGGCTCAGGCACATGGCAGATCAGATCAGCCACGTTTGTCCAGCAGCGTGACTGCAACAATCACGTCAACTTGCAGCATTTCCTCAGCATCAGGGCCCTTTAAGTATTGAGAAGAAAAGTAGCAAATTATTTCAACCTGGGGAAATGTGCTGAGAATTGGGCCTGAAACAAGTCACCCAGAGGACCAACAGATAAGACAAATTGTTTTGAAGGAGAAAGAGTGCAATTTCAGTTAAGTCTCTGGTGCCACCTACAACTTCTGTGTTAGCTTAGCTGCTTTTCCCACCACACTCATTTTTGTTATATTGGACACAATGCTGACCTAATCAGGTGCAGAATTAATTATGATCTTATGTCAGCCTAAAACACAGTCCTTAAAACAATTCATCTAAATGCAGATATCTCCCATTGCTACCACTTGTGGTTGGAAAGATGTCTGTGACTGGCTTGCTACTACCCAGGACCCAGACCGTGGGGGGCACTGATTCACAGAGTCCCAGAGCCACATGGGTAAAGAGAACTAACAAACAGAGGGGCAAAGCAACAAGGGTATGAAGTGTAAAGACTGAAATCCTTAAATATACATCCAGGAGTCAAAAGAATAATGAGTTTATTTCCCCAAATGAGCCTCAAGGATAAACTTTGTGTGAGATTTCCTATTTTAAACAAATGCTCATGTGTACCATGTGCCTTGCACACAGGTGCGGGATGAGAATAAATGCATCTGTAGTGCCGTGAATGCTTCTGTACACACAGAGGCCAGGAGAGGGCGGCCTGCAAGCTGGGGAAAGCGCCGTCTCCTGACAGACTCCAAATTCCAAATGGCTAACAATGTCTCCCTAACTTTATCACCTTCCTCCCTTTGGAAAGCACAGTCTAGAGCCCTCACCCAGGACACACCATTCAGAAAAGTTTGTTTCTTTTTTGCCTCTAAAATTGCTGCCCTAGCAAAATAAGGAAAGCAGTGTATTTGACAGAGAAGTCAATTTCCCTTTCTTTTAGTTAGTTTCATTCGTTGATGTTGATGCGATTCAAGCAGTCTTTATCTTTACTTTGTCAAGAGATGGGTGGGAGGAAAGGAAGCAAATTTAGAGAGAAGAGGCCAAGAAAGAATGGGATTCATGGAGCGGGTTCTCCAGCAGAAATAAGTATGAGCTGTTCTGTCAGTCCATCAGCCTTCATTGTGAGAATGTTTCAAATACAAGTCTAAGACCATGAGTATACATTTTGCATACTGACCATCAACAACACCTCCAGAATCCTAGCCAATTTGGTTTTAAAACAGAAGAGGTAGAGTAGCTTCTCTTAGCAGTATCCAGAGTCTAAGGCAAGGGCTAAAATAAGAATTATGCATTTACCTCATAGAAGCTCTGAGATGGTCAAATCTAGCCCATACTAAACCTAGTCCAACGTTTTTAAAATTCATGCTTAAGAAGGTGTTCCCTTGAGCTGTCGTTACCTTTGTAGATCAGTCATATTCTAGTGACAAACTATAAATGTGCATAGAAGAGAGAAATAGTCTTGAAGTGATCATATCTGCATGATTTAATCCTAAACTAGCTAGACTGGCGATTTTAGCTTCAGGAACACCCTTGTCTGTTTGACACTTTTGGTTCAACTGCCACACAACTTGCCAGCAAACATGGGGCCCTGGAGAAAGCCCGGACAGGGGCTTTTCAGACAATGTCTGAGGGGCTCCAAGCTAGACCATTCTGGGTGAAAAGCTGAGGTTCCTCCTGAGCAAAGAAAAGGCAGAAGGGACACTGGGTTGGGGGTGGGCATGAAAGCTATGACCTCTGTGTCAGGAAAGAGTGACTCTGAAGCTTTTGGAGCGGTGGGTCCTTGGAGGCCCCAGGGGCTGCCCACCAAGGTCTCAGCAGCTTATGTGCATGAAGGAGGCCTTGGAAGCTCTGACGGCCTCTTCTCCCTGGTGCCACTGTGCTCTGCAGGGAGGTGTAGTGTCCTGGAATCAAAGCAAGGAGTTTTTTCAAGAACGAAGGAAAGATTTCTTGGCATCTGGGAGGAAAGGGAGTCACTGTGCATCCCCCCCATGCTCAGCCAGATTAGCCTCCACCACAGCCCCACACGCAGGCTGGGACCACGCAGTGGCCTGATGCTGGACACGCTGGGATGAAAGGGGAAGATTCATCGAGGGTCACTGTGGCCCCAGATACACTGCTGTAATGTGGGGTATTAGCAAGAAGAGAGGGAGAAGTCTGTCCTGCAGGAAGGTGCTGGGAAGCGGGGCAGATTTATTAACCAAAGACCAGGAATCTCCACCTTCCTCTCGGACAGAGAAACTCTGGGCTCTACCTCCCTCGTCTAGATTACTTTCCAATAAAGAAACCTCATGGCTGAAGGGGAAATGTCTTTGAAGGCACTTACCTGTTTGAGGGGCAGAGCAGGGCAAGACCAGAGCATTCTGGCAGATATACCAACCCTTGTAAGAGAGCAGACTTGAGGGTATGTGACGCTAAGAAAACATTTCTGTATTATGAATGCAATGGAATTAGAAACAAAGGAAATACATGACTTATGGAAAAATTCTCTTGAGTTTTTGAAGGACATGACGCCAAGCACACAAATATTCCCAAACATGACTTTCATGTTATGGATTAATAGCAGTTCCAAACTAAGTCTCTTCTCCTGTAATTTATTTCAACAGCAAGAGAGAAGAAAAAGAACACACTGAGCAGGGGAACACTTGATTAGCTCACATGAAATGCTAAGCTGACTTTGTCTAGTACAAATATCATTTGCATTAAAAATATTATTCAACCTGCCTCTACAGCTGTGACTCTAAAGGCTGGAAGAAAACTTATCATCTATGGAAAACTAGCCGCCGCACCCAGCT